CCCGAGGATACCCTCCAACAAACCTGTCTTTTACACTTGCTGTGAGGACCCCTTGTATAATTAGCGTTGCAAATAGTTTTGGGACAAAGGATCCCACAGACACGATATACCGTGAGATTGGAGACCCACAAGCAAGAAAAGAGTGAGAATAGCTGGAGAAGTGTGGGAACGCAAGCGCAGAATGGGGAACATGTCTTCCAATCCAGAGAAGAATTAATTACGTGGAAAGTATGCTAGGTTTTAAACATGTTTAACGGCATTTGTTTGCTTTGATCAACAGATTTTCACAAGCACATGCTGGGAAGCTGGGAATGCACATGTCGTTTAAACCATGCCTATGTGCAGGTCCGCTTCCTGTGGCGGCATCAACCTGTGCACCAGGCGTGCGTCAAAGCCTCGGTACTCAGAGGCACAATAGCATTGCAGAACGTCATTTGACAGTTACTAGCCGTTGTAAAGAATAAAGCGTTTGTAGAACACCCTCGTGAATTACTGTTGTTGCATGTTGTTATATACTGACTATTTTCTTAAGAGTTCGACTTCGACCTTGACCTTGATTCAACATGTGCCTTGACTTTGTTTGAGACCGATGGGCAATGCTTGATAAAGCCTCTGGTGAGCTTGTCGCTGCAAGCTTGGACAAGACTCACAAGGTCAAAAACGACGTCATATATAGATTGACAGAAATCGAATGTGTTGAGGTCCTTCATATGGGCATTATAGATTTTCTGCAGCCTTGGACAACGTCCAAAGTAGCTGCAATGTGCCCCTGCCAGATCACGAAGGTTTTCAAGACAGACTGGGTCACGGTTGTGGCATGTGTTGGCAGTGTTGGCACAATCCACATCGAATGCACTTGTGTCCATTGCACTTCAGTGATCCAGACTTCATACATCAAATGCTTTCATGAAAGGAGAGCCCATGGCATGGAGGTACATCAAATCCTTTGAGTTCAACAAGGAGCCACACCACTGGGTCCTGCTGGTTGTGCTGAATAGGACGTGCAGGGACAGATAAATCGAGAACTAGGGCTTTGTTTTGGTTTTGGCAGGCAACAGTGCCGCCACCTCTTTATGGACGGAGGCCTCAACCGACAAGCGATTGGACAGCGGTCTATGTAAACTTTGGTGTGGGGTCAAGCAACATCAAGCATTGTGTTGGGCAATGGCAGCCATGCATAACCAACCATCAAATAACTATTTTGGTGAAAAAAGATCGAAAAAACAAAAAGCAAATGAACATGCAAAAGCAGCGCAATTTGCTTTGTTTTTACATTTGTTGTGTTTTTTGTTTTTTCCTGGTACCACTTCTGCACTTATGAGAACTTTTACCCGTCAGCAATATTTGCTTTACGCTCCTAGGAAAAAAGCGAAAAACATGCGAAAATAAAGCGAAAAAACGGTGAACATAAAGCGAACAAAAATGTTAAATAATTAAAAAACAATATGGAATCCACGAACCCAAATGCAAACACGTTCGAAAAACTACATATGTCCAAATGACACTCCTGTGGGACACTCTTGTAGGACACTCTTGTGGGACACTCTTGTAGGACACTCTTGTAGGAAACTCTTGTGGGACACTCTTGTGGGACACTCTTGTGGGACACTCTTATAGGACACTCTTGTAGGACACTCTTGTGGGACACTCTGTGGGACACTCCTGTGGGACACTCCTGTGGGACACTCTTGTAGGACACTCTTGTGGGACACTCTTATGGGACACTCTTGTGGGACACTCTTGTGGGACACTCTTGTAGGACACTCTTGTGGGATACCCCTGTAGGACACTCTTAAGGGGCACTCTTGTGAGACACTCTAGTGGGACACTCTTCTGGGACAGTCTTGTAGGACACTCTTGTGGGACACTCTTGTAGGACACTCTTGTGGGACACTCTTGTAGGACACTCTTGTGGGACACTCTTATAGGACACTCTTGTGGAACACTCTTGTGGGACACTCTTGTAGGACACTCTTGTGGGACACTCTTGTAGGACACTCTTGTGGGACACTCTTGTGAGACACTCTTGTAGAACACTCTTGTGGGTCACTTGCAGGACACTCTTGTAGAACACTCTTGTAGGTCACTTGCAGGACACTCTTACACGACACTCTTGTAGGACACTCTTGTGGGACACTCTTGTAGGACACTCTTGTAGGACACTCTTCTGGGACACTCTTACACGACACTCTTGTAGGACACTCTTGTGGGACACTCTTGTAGGACACTCTTCTGGGACACTCTTGTAGGACACTCTTGTAGGACACTCTTGTGGGTCACTCTTGTAGGAAACTCTTGCGGGACACTCTTGTAGGACACTCTTGTGGGACGGACACTCTTGTAGGACACTCTTGTGGGACGGACACTCTTGTAGGACACTCTTGTGGGTCACTTGCAGGACACTCTTGTGGGACACTCTTACACGACACTCTTGTAGGAAACTCTTGTGGGACACTCTTGTAGGACACTCTTGTGGGACACTCTTGTGGGACACTCTTGTGGGACACTCTTGTGGGACACTCTTGTAGGACACTCTTGTGGGATACTCTTGTCGGACTCTCTTAAGGGACACTCTTGTAGGACACTCTTGTAGGACTCTCTTGTGGGTCACTCTTGTAGGAAACTCTTGTGGGACACTCTTGTGAGACACTCTTCTGGGACACTCTTGTAGGATACTCTTGTAGGGCAGTCTTGTGGGTCACTCTTGTGGGACACTCTTGTAGGACACTCTTGTGGGACACTCTTCTGGGCCACTCTTGTAGGACACTCTTGTAGGACACTCTTGTGGGATACTCCTGTAGGACACTCTTAAGGGACACTCTTGTGAGACACTCTAGTGGGACACTCCTGTTGGAAACTCTTAAGGGACACTCTTGTGAGACACTCTAGTGGGACACTGTTGCGGGACACTCTGGGACACTCTTCCAGCTCCCCAGATACTCCGCGTACTAAAGTTGTACTACAAGGTCGCCAGTTCTCAGCTTCCAGCTCCATAGATTGCTCCGCGTACTAAAGTTGTACTACAAAGTCGCCAGTTCTCAGCTTCCAGCTCCACAGATTGCTCCGCGTACTAAAGTTGTACTACAAAGTCGCCAGTTCTCAGCTTCCTGCTCCACAGATTGCTCCGCGTACTAAAGTTGTACTACCAAGTCACCAGTTCTCATCTTCCAGCTCCCCATACTCCGCGTACTACAGTTGTACTACAAAGTCGCCAGTGCTCGCCTGCATTTCGCGCGCTCGATCTCCGCAGAGGGTTGCGCGGGCACCGGACAAATCGCACTCTCGCCTGCATTTCGCGCACTCGACACGCACGATCTCCGCAGAGGGTTGCGCGCGCATGGGACAAATCGCACTCTCGCCTACATTTCACACACTCGACACGCACGATCTCCGCAGAGGGTTGCGCGTCAAGTCTCCAAAACGAGCGTTTCGTACGAGACTTCCTCAAAAACTCACACGTCAAAGTCTGCAAAACGAGCGTTTCGTACGAGACTTCCTCCAAAAGTCAAGCGGAAACACCCATCGGAGCACACACATCACGCAAGTTTCGCGATTCCAGCCCCTCCAAACAACATCCGCTCACACGCCAATCCCAATGTGACAGCGACATTCACCTCTACCCCAACTCACAACCTCCCGATTCCCTGCGCCTGCCACGAATCATTCCCCATCCACACGTCTAACGCGCACAAAGTACTGCGCCTGCCACGAAATGTCACCTCCCTCACACCTCGCAACCTCACGATTCCCTGCGCCTGCCACGAGAATTGCACTTCCACGCCTCAAAACCCGCACGAAGTCCTGCGCCTGCCACGAAAAGTGACAATATAATATCATCGCATGTGAGCTTCAACAAAATTTGCACCACACCACACGTTTGGAATCATTTCGACCCGTTCAGAGCACACTCCCATCCACCAAAATCGCCATTTCAGCTGAGACTTGTCACGAAAACCGAGCTTCGATGCCACACCCTGAAACGCAAATCCCAATGGCACGGCCACATCCAACACCCCAAAAACACGACTCTCCAAACGCTAATCCCAATGGAACTGCGCAGCAATCTGCGGATCTCACAAAACGCTGCGCCTGTGCAGCGAAATGCATCACGTTTCTTGCGCGACATGTCGGTGTCATGCAAATCACAATGGAATAGCGGCGCAAACTGACACGTGACACATCCATGAAAAGTCACTTGCAAAAGCTTCCCCCAATGGTTGCAAATTTGAGACGCGACGACGACCACAAACGACGAGAGACGACGACAGACGACGAGAGACGACGAGAGACGACGACAGACGACGACAGACGACGAGAGACGACGAGACGACGCAACCCCCACACCCCCAACCATAAACGGGAACCCTTCGCTACGCATTCGGGAAAAAACACGACAAACACGCACAGCTACATTTTTGTTGCTTGTTTGCTTTATCTTTTGTTTTTTGCTTTATAAAATTATGTTGGCTCCTTGTATCTATGGTTGGCGCGCCCGACTCAAATCAAACAGCTTGTTCATGTTTTTCGCGTGTGCCCTCGTGTTTTGGACCCACAGGTTTGCCAGGCACTTCGAGGCAAGATACGATTTCCCGGAGTTGTTCAATAGTTGTTTAATAGTACGAAGCAAGAGCTTTGTCATGTATTGTCCAAATATCAGGCAAGGCTTCTGAATGACGAGAACCTTGTACCACAACCAGAAACGGTGGTGCACACAGATTTGTTGGAAGGTGGATTGTATATTCAGGGACATTGTGTTTTTTTTTGTGGATAGGTTTAGTAGGTTTCAGACAATACTCATTTACAGCTGTCAGTGTGGCATCAACCTGACCTTCGATTAACCTGACATGTTACTGTAACAGATTGGAGTAAGATTTTATATGATTTTACCGAATGCACAACAAGCAGTGATGGTGCTTGCTCAGGTTGCCGCGACTGCAGCAGAGCGCTGGTGCTCATTCAACGAAGATGACGCGAGTCAGAGCACTCAGGGCTCTTGGCACTTACTCGCTCTTTGTCGAATGTGCCATGATTTCACACAAGCAAAGTAGAACACAACTGAAATTGCCGAGGGCACTTTGTTACCTTTGCATACCTTTGCTAAATTTGCTTCCCCTTTGAGACTAAAAGCTTCGATATCGGAACAAGTGCTTGAGGCCAGCTTTCAAACAAAGCCTGATTTATGCACGCTTCATCCTGAGAAGTTTTCCCAGCCAGACATGATGCTTTTATCTCTGTTCCCTCCCTTCCTAATTTGGGCAATTGTCCAGAATTGCCGATTTGCATTTAAACCACGCACGCTGCCTTGAGGTTGCTGCACTGAGAAGGAGGGCCGTCGTGCAGAATCATGAAGACGTGGATTTGCAGTTTGCGCGAACGCAACAAAGTTAGTGTGGTTCAAAAATAGCACTTGAACAAACCGCAACAAACCACGCTGATTTCTTTTTGTTGCATTTCATTCCCAAGAAGCTTTTGAGCAACCATTATGCAGTCGAACATGAAAAGAAGAGACATGGATCATCAGAGATTTGTCCGATTTCACCTCTGCTCAGTTTGAACGTGTTTGAGCAAAGAAACACGAGAAAACAAGGCATAAATGGGTGTGAAAACGTTTGCAACCGTGTTTTGGTATGCTTGGACCAAGTCCGCCGTCCAGTATCCAAGAGTCTCTTGCTGCAAGCACTGCTCCGCAAAGGGACTGGTGCGTAGCAGAGTTATCCTTGTGCAGTGGTTTAGCTTGCCTCAATAGGTTGAAATAAATACGTATATAGAAGAAAGACATACACATAGTGCTAGTGATAGTGCAATCTTGTTGACTGAACCACTGGCGAGGTAGGCCTCGAATTGCCTGAGGAAAAAGAGGTCCAGAGGAGTATGCAACAAGTTGGTTTCTTTTCTTCAACCTGTAAACTTCGGTTGTGCTAGTTATGGAGGCTGTTGATTTCGGCATTTCCTGCTCAGTGCCACTTCTGTGGCAAATGCTGCGGAGCCGGAGGTGCCCAAAACTTAGCTCTGCTTTCGATGGAATTACGGTGTCATTTTGCGGACAGAGTTCAGTTGACCCACGTGAGTTTGCTCTTTTTTCACACTTTAGAGCCCTTGACAAGAAGGCTACTTACAGCGTTAGGACTTGGCCTCCACTCCCGCTACTTTATCGTTCTGCACTTCACTACATTATCGCAAAGCCCCGGGATGTTCTTTCGGGCAACATGAAGATGGACAATATATACACTATTCGTGCTATTTTTTCGTAGTTTCTTTAGACAAGGTAACTATATTGTTCTATGTACATATATATATAACTATATATATATATATTGTATGATGATACATGTCCTTGAATTGGAAACAGGAGAGGTCTTGCTGAGCGCTTCAGGGCTCTTTGCTCAGGCTGGCGATATAAGCCATCTCCTGCAGCTTCCGCAGTCTTCGCCTCTCGGACGTTTAATGAGAAGCGCACAAAGTACAAAAGCAATGCATGGGTAGATGGAAAATCCAATCTCATGCAGGACCAATTGTCTGGAAGCGGAAGCTGTGAAGCTCTTTCTCTGTATCCTTCCCATGATGTTGAAATCAGTGTTCTTTTTTTGTGGGATTCATCCTACCTTGAAGCAATTGACGAGGGTGGTTTTGCCCACCCTGCTGCAAGCAGAAAGTCCATGTGAAAGACCCATGCTTTCTTGTGTACCACTAGCAACTACACCAGTATGCAGCATGCACTGTTCAAAAAATCCATGTGACGTGTGAGCATTGTTACTAGTAGCGATGGCCTCCAACCTACTTGCGATGGCCTCCACCCAATAGCAGCGTCCTTGCTAGGAATAGAATATGCACCACGCATCCAAAACCAGATGCTCAGCCAAGTTTCTAAGGCATGCGATTCAATGCAGCCTCTTGGACGACAGACACAGTGAGTTTCAATTGTCTTATGTGTATCGGCCTCCGTTTTCTTTAGATTCCTATCAACGTGGTCAGAATTGGCTGCAAGCAGCCGGCAAATAAGGGTTATCTGATAACCGTTATCAATTAATGTCCACTACGACTACAGGTGAGTTGTTTTTGAAGTTGGTCCATAAATGGCACCATATGCTTGTGCTATTGTGAGTGCGTTTTTGTTTGTTTCCTTTCTTCTTTCCTCGCGTGTGTTCAACCAGGGTTTGCGGTGTTCGTTGTGCTTCTATGAGGCTTTTGCCTTCGTGGCCTTGCAGCCTGCTGGGTCCTTGCGAAGCTACATCCAACCGGATTTTATGAAAGCGAGTGCGATGTGCACAAACTACTCTGTCCAGTCGTTTTGCCATTAGGTCTATGCTGCAAAGATAGCCTCCTTCCGAAGATCCGACCCAGGAACACATGGAACTCTTGTAGTGAAACTCAAAGCAGAGACTTCTTTGCAAAAAGATGGCAGGATTGATCATGTGGAGAATGTTTCGTGTTGTCTGCTTCTTTGTGTCATCTTCTTGAAAGGATGTTATGCCGTTTCGATCTTGGACACAAATTTGCTGCTGTTGTGCGAATCGCACTTGCTCAGGAAAACTTTGTGAATTCATCAACCATCTTCGGAGAATTGGGTGGCATCAAATTAATCGACCACTATGGGGTGTGCATCAATTGCGCCGATGGAGCGGACCTTCGACGGCAAAATCAGTGAAAACTTGTTGGAGGAACAGTGAAAGCTACAGAACAGCCATTGGTGTTTCAACCTGACCCCGTCTCGATAGCTTGAGGCAGCGAGATGGAATATGGTAGAAATTGTAGAATGTGAGAGATGGAGTTTAGAAGACTTTAGTAACAAGTGCATTGCTACTAGTAACAAGGGCATTACTACTAGTAACAAGAAGCTACATGAAGCTACTGTGTTTCAGAGAAGGTCACAGGCGCTTTGATGCGGATCACGTGATGAGGAACAGCCATTGTGCACACAGCTTGCCAAGGTGTGCACAGCGCCGAACACGCCAGACTACAAGGTACCAAATTCTTCGAAGATTGTCAGATATGCGATGCAATGTGATGCATGTTAAGAACTGCGTTACATATCAGGACACAACTTCAGATTCAACTGATGAATGCGAGATGGTGCCCTTTTGCTTGCATGTTTTCTTCGAGGTAGTCGATCCGCAAAAGGCTTGCAATACTGCACCAGCCGCAGGTGATAAATGGAGCCCGCGCCTCAGCGAGACCAAGTTGCGAGTGTGAGTAACGCCGATAGATAGAGAGAGAGAGAGAGCGAGCGAGACTTCAGCTGTACTGTGCAGAAGCAATGGGTGCACAAGGTTGGCGTGTCAACAAGGCGAGCCCATATGATATCAAACTAGAGTATCCGAATCTCGGACGGCAATGCTGCATTTTTCCTGCGGCATGGGTTTGGAGGGTTTCAATGGGTTTCAATATTGCTCCTTGGAGTGACAAGAGTCCAGATAGCAAGCGGCCAACTGGTACCGAGGCTAAAGAGCTTGAAGCATGAGATGCACTTTAAGATTGAAGTCATTTCTGCGGTGGATCAATCAGGTCGGTGAATAGACATAGACAAACGAGACCAAAGATGCTTTGTGAATGTTGTTAAAAGAGGCGAAACCCATGGAGATAAATTCACTTCAGGATTTGTTGAACACGTTTCAACGTTTGAGGTACCAACTCACCAGAGCAAATGGGCCGGCAAGCTACGTCTTGGGTGGCAGAGGCAGTACTGGGAACAAAAACACATCGTGCGTGGCTGAAGACAGCCGCGACCTCAAGCAGCACTGGTCTAATGTCACAAGAGCTGAGATTGTGAGGCAATCAAGATTGAAGGTCAAGATAATAATCAGCATCCATCCATCCATCCATCCATCCATCCATCCATCCATCCATCCATGCTCACCGAATAGAGCCTCTATAAGCCTCTCTATATCGGTTGGGACATTCTAATTTGTTCTCAAATCCTGCTGCGAGGTAGCGAGGTAAATTGAAACTCCCACCTCTAAGATCCGGCAAGTTTTGGCTCACAGGCCGCAGAGACTGAATTGTGTCTCCATATCATTGGAAATCAAGGAAGCCACGAGCCCTCGACCAAGGTCGAAACTAGTTTGTATAGGCGAGTATAGGCGAGTACAACAATTGAGCAGCCCTAAGAAAAAGAAAACTAATATAGGGAAGTGTCGAGTGCTGGTGATGTAAGATGTAACACGCACATGCTTTTGAAGCTGTGCCTGTGCGTGTTGAAAGGCTCACGCGGAGCGGGAAGCAGGTGCCAAGCTCCTTTCACTCCTTGTCATATTGCCTGCCAAGATCATCACTGCCCGCCCATGTCTTCTGCAGCGTGCACAACTGATAAATGGTCAGCCCTGAACTCTTCAATTCAAAGCAGAATGCGCCTCTATCTTTGGCTTGTTTGCTGTGTATGTACACATACCAGGTATTTGTATTCATCTCGCCTATGTAGCCGTTTGGCATTCTTTCTCAGAAAAGCACACACACAGCAGTTGAAGAAAGTGTCTTTGCTGCGGCAATCTGGTGTGACCTGATTTGAGTTGCCATGTGTTGTGGCTTTCCTTTCACTGTGTGCTTGTGAGGCAATGAACCTCAACGGCCACTTCAGCAAGGCTGTGACTGGAAATCTCACCATGGACTTGCCAAAGATCGCAGAGGCGCCTTCCGCCTACGTAAGACTAATTTTAACAGAAGATTGTCACAGATTATGATAACTCGGACGAAACTACTTGAAACTCCGCAAGTTTCCTGCAGTAAGGACTTTTTCGATGAAGTCAGAGTCTCAGTGACAGCTCTAGCATGTTGCCCATCGCATGGTTTATACTTGACCTTATTTGAGTCTCCTTTTCCAAGGTTTGTGTGCAACCAATCACGACCCAGGGATATGAGGTGACAGAGACCTCTATGAAGAAGAACAAGTTCAGCGTAGGTGCCAAATGCGCCAAAGTTGCTCAGCATTTGCTATGAGAGCCATTTACCATCTTGATCAAATGTGTCCAATGAAATGGAGCAGGCTTGCACTAGAGAGTCGTTCGAGAAAGAAAGATAGAGAGGGAGGGTGAGAGGTTGAGAGGAGTGATGCAGCAGTTGGCATTAGCATGCATTAGCTGAAGTAGACGTTCCAAGGATTACACCGGATACGCGCAAGTGACCGAGTGCGCAGAAGAGCAGCTAGCATACTTGCTCTTTGGCATAATGTTATCCTGACGAAAGAAGGACCGAAGCCCTCGGACCATGTCTTAGCCTTCTTCCTGTCCTGTCCCAGACTCAGGTTGTCAGGTTGCCGCCCAGAGATGTGTACCCAGCCAGAGAATACACTGGGCTATGATTTGCTTGGTGCTCAGCAGTCCCAAGTCTTTTTGTTGCTTGGTCCTCCTTCTTTTCCTTCTCAACAAGCTAGGTCTGTGCTTGATTTGTCGCTTGCATCCTTCGATGTTGACGTAACCTGCACCTTGGAAAGCAACTTTGACTCTTAGCTTGCCCAAACGTTCCCCACCACCCCAATCCCTTTTGGGTTTGGCATATCATGCCATATAAGCAACTCTAAGCAACTCTAAGCAACCTGCACAGCCATGCTCGGCTACTTGCTTCGAATAATTTCTGTCGGTTCTGTTTCTTGTGTTCTGTCTTTCTGTCTTTCTTTCTTGCTTTCCTCATGTCGTCATTCTTTCTTTATTGCACATTTGCTATAACTTTTGCTGCTTGAGGTATGTCTGGATACATTGGAGCTCCTACAGTAGCCAAATGTACTGGGGACGGCCGTCCATTTTCGGTGGCAGGCTGCAAGCTTCAGACGACAACAACTTCGACCACCACGATCACAACAACTACCACGACTACCACCACCACTACCACCACTTCAACCACTACAACTGCAACTTCAACAAGCACTTCTACCACAACCTCCACAAGAACTTCATTGAGCACAACAACAACCAGCACAACAACGTCTACCACCATCACCACAACGACAACAAGTACATTCACCACAACCAGTACCACAACAACAACAGCAACTACCACGACAACTTCCACGACCACAACTACTTCTACCACAATAACAAGCACATCGACAACAACCACTACAACAACATTCACTAGCACAACTACCACCAGCACAACGACTACCACAACTACGTCGACCACCACTCTCGTGCTTTTTTGCCTAGATGCTGAAGACAAAACGGGCTATGACCTGGTTGAAAACAGCCTCCAGCTCAATGTTCCTTGGGTGAGTGACATTTTGACGAGAAGAGATCTTGGATTGACAGTGAATCGCGTGTACCGTACTGCATCTAGAATATATAAGATCTGAATGAGAGTTGGACCAGGAAAACTTACAGGACAATGATAGTTGGAGGAAAATTGAATTCCAAAACAAGCTTAGTACCCTTTTGGGGTTGGATAAACAATTGCCGTGATGCTAACTATGCGGGGGGTTGGGCCGCATCATGTGCATCACCGGTGTTGTTTTTCTTATCCAAAACGGGTGCTAGGCTTAGTACCCGTTTTGGGTGGGAGAACCAATCCCCGTAATGCTAACTATGGGGGTTGGAGCGCATCGAGTGCATCGCGGATGTTGTTTTTCCTATCAAAAGCGAATACTAAGCTTAGTACCCGTTTCGCAATGTTCTTCAAATTACAATTGACTGATGTTCCTGTAGTTCTTCCTGGTTGAGTTTTGTTTGAAAGATGGCTAAAGAACACAAATAGCAGATCATCTTCATCTTCGCTAATGTGCCAACTTGAATGAACAGCATGTTGTTAAGATGGAAATTGAGGATTCATCTGAATCTACGTTTAAGCGATGCACAGTAGCAAAATGGCTAGTAGCTTTGCTCACCAGGTGCTCAGTGCCTTTACTTGTTTTTTTGCGTGCAATACATGTCTACTTTGCTCAGGTTGCGGCGTTCTCCGTCAATGCCTCTTGTGCCAATGGCTACTATGGAGTTGCAAAAGCAATTGCTGGAGTCTAAGTCAAATGCAGACAGAGAGAGACCTGCATGGGAGCTCAAATGCGTTGGTGGTAGTACTAGTAGTAGTAGTAGTAGTAGTAGTAGTAGCAGTAGTAGTAGTAGTAGTCCCAGTCGTAGTCGTGGTCGTGGTCGTGGTGGTGGTGGTGGTGGTGGAAGAAATCCGACAAGAAGTTGCAATAAGCTTTATGAGTACTGATTGAAATTATGGTTTGTCAGATGATGTTTGGCTGTGACTGCCTGCTAGCTGCTAGCTGGAGTTGTCGTGCATGTGCTGGAAAAGATACTCCATCACAACTCCAGAATGTCGCACCTGGCTCCGTAACTAGTAACTACATCCACATTCCACAATGATTTTCGACTTTGCCTTTCTTGCGTGTGCGGCCAAGATTTGCAAGTCCGCAGACGAGCCATACACACTCAGCGGTTGTCACAAGATCGAGACCTGTCAAGAGCCTCAGGCTCTTGGTTATGAGTTGACGCTCGGAAGCAAAAGCCCTTGTGCTGACAGGTAGTAATCAGAGATGTCCCACATAAATCTACCCGAGCATTTTTTGTAGTCTTGTTCAAGAGTACCATTCGTTATGATGGAGTAGTAAAAGACTAAAGATTTCAATTTGAAGTATATTATAAGTTTTATATAGTATATAAAAGTCTTGTGGTCACTGCTCAACCTCAATGCACCACATATTCTGCAATGCTGGATGATGGAGATCTTGGGCATACTGTCGCATAACCATACGTCCAAGGAGCGATGGCAGCCGGAACTTGCATGACTGGAGCCTTACAGCACATTGTGCAATGCACTTTCACGGCAATGCAAAGGTCCAGAAATGCACCAAGGATGCTGAAGAGCGCCTTGGTTTGCAACCGCGACCGTCCTTGTTTGTGCACACTCCTTTCGCCGAAGCACTGTAACAAGAAAAAAGCATTTAGCAACAAATCCCACTGAGTACCCTGTTGACCGTAGTATTTCCCTATCGAAGTCACAGATTTGTTGCAGTTATCGCATCGAGATCCACGCCGTGAGGTTTCAAATTTCAGGATGTGAGCCAGATGCATGTTCTGCGCCAGCGGACAAGACTGGGTACGTGGTGGCCGAGGATGCAACAGAAATCTTTCGATTCAGCGTGGAAGCGACGTGTGCTTCGGGATACAAAGGCACACCGCAGGTAATCCCTTGCAAACAGCACTCAGGCGAATACCAACTGTCAGGTTGCGAGCAAACCACTACTACTACGACTACCACAACATCGACAACCACAACAACGACAACATCCACAACAACTACGACAAGTACCACAAGTACCACAACCAGCACAAGCACAACCACCTCGACCACGACCACAACTACTTCAACCTCCACAACGACAATTACATCGACCAGCACAGTGACCAGCACTACGACTTCTACAACGACCACGACCACTACGAGCACCGCAACATCCACAACAACTGTCACCACAACCACAATTACTAGCACCAGGACCAGCACCTCCACGACAACCACTACTACCACTACGTCGACGACAACTTCAACTACTACCACAAGCACCGCCACAACGACATCTACAACAACAACATTCACCAGCACAACTACAATCACTACTACAACCATCACATCCACTACCACTTCAACCACTACTACGACGACAACAACTACGTCAACTACTACAACCTCAACCTCTACTACGACCACAACCTCAACAACTACAACATCGACATCCACATCTACTACCACTACAACGTTAACAACAACGACGACCACAACATCCACCACCACTACAACAATTACCTCGACAACAACAACGACAACTAGCACATCTACAACAACGACAACTACGGCCACCACTACCAGCACAACCACCACTACTACTACTTCAACCAGCACTTCAACCACAAAAACTAGCACCACAACCACCACCACCACATCCACGACCACAACTTCGACCTCAACAAGCACCACTACGACTGCCTCTTGGTTCCATCAACAAACTAAACGACTCGCCTCAGGCTTGGAAGGGCAAAGGCTGACAACTTTTTTTAGCATCGCTGGCAGTTGATCTTTATTCCCATGTTCAAGCATCAAGCATGTTTGAGGTTGCAGAATGCACTACGCCAGCTCTAAATGACAGAAAAGGCTCGAGTTTGCAAACAGAGTTGGCTTCTGAAAGGGCCCTGGTGGCCATTTGGTGATGTGGTGTCACTGTGGTGTCACACTGTTGTCACGGTTGTCGAAGGCTACGTGGTGAGAAGCGTCAGCACTTACATCTTCAACTTTGAAGTTGCAGTCAAGCCTGAAACCTGACAGAGTGAGAGAGAGAGAGACACGCATGATTAAGCTAGTATCCGATTGACGCGATGCACTTGTTGCTAGCAATCAGCTTAGTTTCACGGCTTCAGTAGGTTTCAGTCTTCTCACTCATTCTGCATGTCCAATCAGTCTAATGCGTTCGCAACACGAATGACCCGCCGCACTTTGAGCGTGGATTTCTATCAGGTGCGATGAGAACTACTTGGGCACAGCTAGAGTGCAGAGGTGCCAAAAGCACGGCGTGATGGGCTGAGCTGCCTCACAAGAAAGAGCAAGAAATAATGCTTCTTCAGTGATTAGATTAGATGTGTTTTGTGCCTCAACATATGCAGGATGATGCGGGTCGTATTTCGTGCTACCTTTTCTTCTGCTTTTCTTCATGTTTGCATATGAATATGTTTGGTATTGTTTGGACCTGCTTTTCGAAAGGAGCCCTACAAGCTAAGTGGTTGCCGAGTCAAGATGTGCACCGCACCTTTTGACACAACTGGCTACAGCGTCAAGGAGGACTCCTTGGCGATGCATAGCTTTTGGGTCACTGCCAGGACTGGGGGAATATTGATCTCATTCAAGATTGTCGGTTTGTTTGGCACAAACTTGTTTGTTTTCGTTGCGCTGAATATTACATAATAATACTAGTATGTTGTTTCGTGCTTCCCTTTTTCATCGAACATGCCGCATGTTGCTCTAGATTGTTCACACTATATTTCCATTGAATGAAGAGAGCATTTTCTGCATTTGCAGATGTTCGAGCGGATGGTTTGGCACAGCGGCGGTCAAAGCCTGCAGTGAACCTGGTACAGAATATCAACTTGAAGGTTGTCACAATGACTGCTTTGCTCCAGTACCTTGGCTCGCAACAAAGAAAATATAAGAAATTTGATTTTTTGCTTGCATCAATGGTGTTTTGTTTGCTTGTGGACGCCAATTTCCGCCAAAGCTACAGGAGAGCACCGAAGGCTACGAAGTGAAGGAGAAGAATCTTCGCATAAGAAGTTTTGACGTCGAAGCCTCATGTGTCCGAGGATACATCGGAACTGCGTCAGTGCTTCCTTGTAGCGCAGAAACCCGGATGTACCAATTGAGAGGCTGTCAAGAGGATTTGCGGATGTGCAAGGCTCCTTCAAACACTCAGGGATACGTGATCTTTGAACGTGACCTTGTGGTGAGCATCTTCAACGTCTCTGCGAGATGTGCTGAGGGCTGGACTTCGGCACCTGGTGAGGATGTCAAGGTTGCTCCATGCACAGCCAACAATGGGCTCTATCACCCCTCCGGCTGTGTTCCATCAAAATATTGCGTGTCCCCAAACACCGTGGGTTACGTCGTGGATGAGAAGCAGTTGTTGGTGTCCCACTTTAAGGTGGAAGTGTCCTGTGCCGCTGGCTACGCTGGCAAGCCTATAGCATCAACCTGTCAGGATGATGGCAGACCATATGCTCTTGCAGGCTGCGCGGTGGACACCAACCCGTGCGTCGCTCCAAGCAACACCGCGGGGTACATAGTCAAGGAGCATGATCTCATCAAAAGCACCTTTAACGTGGAAGCTTCTTGGCGTACAATGCAAAGCAACGGCCAGGTTCGTTGTGTTGTGACGGTATTGAGAACATTTGCTCCTGGAGATTGGAGCCAAATTGAGGTTTCTTGTGCAAAGGGCTACACTGGGGATGCAATTGTGGAGGAGTGCCCGTCACCAGGCAGTGCCTACCGCCTATTCCTCAGGAAGGCAATGCAACGTTCGTCGGAATTCAAGATTGCTTACCATCCCTGTTCCTCCAAGGTTTGAAAGGTTGTATTTAAATGTAAATTCCTGCCAGCGTTAAAAAAAACACATATTTATATAATCACACATGTAATTATGTATGAAAACTAGACGACGGTTGGCCCGAGAGCGAGACATGTAATTGTCCAGCACTGTCGAAAAGATGTATAGAAAGAGAGAAAGAGAGGGTGGATGTGAAGGAGTGACAGTGTGATGTGCAGGTGCGATATAAATCTGTAGATGTATGGAGGTGGAGAGGTAGATCTGTGGATGTGAGTGTGCGAAGATGTAAATGCACAGAGACGAGAGAAAAGATACGTAGAAAGAAAGAAAGACAGGACAGATGTGAAGGAGCGACAGTGTGGATGTACAGATGTGATATAGATGTGCAGATGTGTGGGTGTGGTGAGGTGGAGAGGTAGATCTGCGGATGTGAGCGTGTGAAGATGTAAATGTAGAGAGGTGAGGGGGTGTAGACGTAGATGCGTCGATGCAACGGCAATGCAACGTCAACCTTAGTTGTGCAAGCACAACGCTGAAGAGGTTCAACTAGAACTGAAGAACGTACATTTCGAACTGGAGTTTCCACGAACAGGGCGACCTGAGAGTAAACGACGTCACGATCATGACAAGCGACTCGTGTATTCCAAGCGAACATCGTTTGTCATGAAGGTGAAGTACACACATACTAACGTCACGATGACTCTTTTGTGGCAGCCACTTATGAGTAAGCAAAGTAGCTAAAGTTTGTCAACCTCTCAAGAGAGCTGGGTGGTCGGGAGACATGACTCAGCTGCAGGGGCGCCAGAGCAGCCGCGAGAGATGACTCATCCGCGCACTCAAGTTGTACTACAAAGTCGCCGGTTCTCAGCTTCCAGCTCCACAGCTTGCTCCGCGTACTAAAGTTGTACTACAAAGTCGCCAGTTCTCATCTTCCAGATCCCCAGATACTCCGCGTACTAAAGTTGTACTAGAAAGTCGCCAGTTCTCATCTTCGAGCTCCCCAGATACTCCGCGTACTCAAGTTGTACTACAAAGTCGCCAGTTCTCAGCTTCCAGCTCCACAGATTGCTCCGCGTACTACAGTTGTACTACAAAGTCGCCAGTTCTCATCTTCCAGCTCCCCAGATACCCCGCGTACTAAAGTTGTACTACAACTTCGCCAGTTCTCATCTTCCAGCTCCCCAAATACTCCGCGTACTAAAGTTGTACTATAAAGTCGCCAGTTCTTGCTCCGCGTACTAAAGTGGTACTACAAAGTCGC